GACACCTCGGTGCTGCTGCCATCTATTTTCAGCTTACATGAACTAAATTTAAAATGGCCTCCAGGGCCGAGAGCACAATCGGTAAGAAGGTATGCTACCTCAGCAACTATTTTCTGTGCTCCCCCCCTCGCCCCCCTTTCAATTCCAATTTTGCTTCTTGCAATAAATACTTTTACAACCAGATCTCTTTCCTTCTGGCTTTCACACCAATATCCTATACACATACCTCGCCTCCTCCATTCATGAACTGTGTTCAAGATCACTAGTCGAGGAGGATGAAGTTGGCAGGGCATGTAGCACGAATGGGGGAGGCGAGAAATGCATAGAGGATACTGGTGGGAATGCCAGAAGGAAAGACGCTACTGGGAAGACCAAGATGTAGGCAGGTGGACAATATTAAAATGTATCCTAGTGAGATAGGATGGTATGGTATGGATTCGATTAATCTGGTTCAGGATAGGGACCAGTGGAGGGCTCTTGTGAACACAGTAATGAACCTTTGGGTTCTACAAAAGGCTGGAAAATTCTTGAGTGGCTGCACAATTGGCAGCTTCTCAAGAAAGGCTCAGCTGCATAAGTAAGTTTAATATCACCTCACCCATATCCTTTCGGTTGGATTTGAGTGAAGTTCTATTAAACTTGGTCCCCCACCCCTTTCCAAAAAAAAAAATAACAGCAGAATACGAGCCTCTGCAGCTCTGGAGTACAAGGGATTAGGTTGAAAATTATTTATCTGGAGAAAGTTTGTCACCAGTGCCTGGAAAGTCATAACCTTTCTTTAATATGAAACACCTCTTTAACCAAAGGCACTGAACATTGTGAACTGTGACATACATGGAATACTTGTATTTAGGAAAGATGATGGTGGGGAAACTTGAAAAAAAAAATCTGTTTCCATCAGAGAGACATATATATTAAGCCTCATAACTTACACTTGAAAGCCATAACGGAACACAGTTTTCGGTTACATTTAAGTATTATAAATCATATATTGTAAGAAACAACACTCATGTTCCCATTTATCATTATTTTCATTAGAATGATGGAATTCAAGAATGTGAAATACACTCATCAACAAGACTGCATTTAATGACATAAGAAAATCTGATATATTAATCTTCACCAGTTCAGTTCTGGGCAGAACAATATGGCAGAAATAATAACATATCTTAAAAAATGTAATGAATACTGAAAATCTGGTATCTATTCATATACCAGTTCAGTAATGGAAAGGATTATACGGCAAAAGTAACATATCTTACGATGTTGTTATTCTCTACACAGTAGTTTCTGTTGCTGCACTGCAACTGCTTGTCACCAGGGATACTATCTCCAACTTATGAAAAATTTAATGATGCTCATGTGAACAGCTGCCACAGATATTCTTCCACTAATTCAATAACTGCCCTCTGCCAACTTCCAGGAGTTGGTATGGGCAGGACGTTAAAAGGCAAAAATAAAGCATTACTCTCCTAATGAATTACTAATGTGTCAGGATTTGCATCTTCCTGTTTGTGGCTCTCTGCTTGGCTACTTCAGTTATCAACCTGTTTGCTCGCCCACACCAGGAAGGAATGTGAATTCTAGTGAGATGTGTCTCTATACCATTTACTATTTGTGGGTGAAGCAAACAGCCAGTATGCCTAATCCATTCAAAGTCAGTGCTGCTCCACTGAATTCAAGTGGGTCACCTCTGCCATCACACACTCCATTAGGGTCACTGTACTCCTTGAAATATATGATGACACTGGTTGAAAGCAGCACTTTCTGTCAGGAATGTCTTACATGCAACACAGCTGACACCATAAAGCACACAACTGGCAAAGGAACCACTGACATAGGTTACTGAGAACACTTCCAAGTCACCAGCATGTTATTGCAGCACTTGCGTCCTTTTGTAATTGTTGAGCAACATGGAAACTATCAGCAACAGTATCAGGAGTTTCCTTGTATGACTTGTGGAGGGATTTGGTGAAGAAGCATCAGGTGCCCTGAGCAATGACTGTAAGTTATCCAAAAGAGTAGTACCATCATCCTCACAATTTAATCCACACACACACCTCTAAAAGCATGGCCACTGATGAAGCTACTCTTCAGGGCATCTACAAACTGTTCCACAGTTGGTTTACTGTTCAAACCACAGTACGAACAAATAGCTACAAATGTGATTTGTTTCATTCTGGTCCATCACACTAACAATTATAAATACAAATCACTCCATCCAATGTGACATATAAGTTTTTACTACATGAAAACTTATCTCCCTTACATGTTTCGGTCGTTATTGACCATCTTCAGAGGGAACATTATTACAAACTGGAAACTACCATCACAATAGGTGTTTTGATTTAAAAGACATACACTTATATCCTATAATGCACAGTATGCATAAAGTCAAATATTTCACAATCACAGCAGCTTCCTGGTATTGTAAAGTTTTTAAAAGTTTCTAGATGTTAATTTAAAAAACCTTTATTGTCACTAGTTAAAATTTTTTAAACCACGTAGGTTCGTGTCCATACTCCTATCATCCTTCTTGTATGGGGCAGATTTTGTGCCGCCTGTCTATCTTGATGTCATCCAGGGTTTGCTCGTGGCTTGCTGTGTTGTTTTCACTCAACACAGGCATAGCATTCATATACACAAATAACATATACAGTATTATTAGAACAAAGAAGGTGTCACGCGTGGGACTGAAGTTTTCATAGGACAATCTGGAGGGAAAGCCACCATAAGGCAAGATGGAGTAGCTAGAAAGGTAAAAGGTAAAGCTATCCCTGCAACAGACAGTGGAGGCCCATAGGGTTGTGAGATGTCGAGGCTCCCACATTTTCTAGACAGTCGGCGGTTATATAAATTTCCTGTTAGTCCATAAATGGATGAGGTATGTTCTATCTACATGCATTTAAAAAACAGTGGTAGGTACTAAAATCCATTATATTTGTTCTTTATTTCTTCAAGGTCAAGTAACAAATTTTTGGAGAAGAAAAATCAAGATAACAGTGACCCTCTGTTTCCTTTTTTAATGTCTTAAGCCCCTAGCTTTAGATTCATATACACAAATTGTCTTCACAACAGCATTCAGCAGTCTGTTATAATGGCTTCACTGTTTCTTACGAGCAGTAACACTGCCGGTTTTAATAAGCAATGAATTCAACATTGATGAATGGCAGATGACACAGTCAGAGATGAAATTGACCCACATTTATTTGCAGCTAGTCTATAACAATAGTTATAGTGGTCAGACTAGTAGTGAGGAACCTGATCCTGCCAACGTGCAAAAAACTGTAAAAGAAAGTCTGTTTTACATGGAAGCAGGAGGCACATTTCACCTTGGCAACTCATCCTGTGGTGTTCACATAAACGTAACCAAAAGAAGCTCAAATTTCAGTAGATGCTAATTTCATACTTGTCATAGGGAAACAAATACACTCACTGCAAACAGTAATTTGCTGGTATGAAGCAAAAAAAAAAACAATGCTGAGGAAATTGATACATACCTCACACCTGATGGGGCACATTGGGGGGGGGGCAGTACTGGCCCATGGATCATACAATTTCAAACCCATTCCTTAGTACTCTGTTTTCCCTAAGACATAAGACATCCCTAAGTTTATATTTCTATAAATGTTGATCTTCTGCAGCAGTGTTGGACAACCCATGAGCCATGTTAAAGATCAGGGAAATGATCAATTCCTCTACAGAAAA